ACTTAGATGCTCATGCACCACTTCAACAATAATAAATCGACATTGGAAAATGTTTCCAAACTTCACTGTCACAATATATTCACATGCGACAATGAAAAATATGCTCAAATACATGCATACTTTTCCAAAATTCAGGGTAACACTATATATACCCACACCACAATCCTATTTTATGTTACACATTTCAAACGTTTAATGATGCATACTATTGCTCATTGCGGTGCATCATACAAGCTGTTAAGATGCATACCAAAACTTCATTCAACCAAAATATGTGTTTGTATTGCACATTCACAAAACAAACAGTCAATATAATACAATTTGTCATGAATGATGTTTCATTACTAACGTCATGTAAAAACTTTCATAGGTGTCCACCCACACAATAACACATACATGTTATAGTATTTTTTTCAAGTAAAATGTAAACAAAAACACATGTTGTCTGAATCAACTCCCGCTATGGTGCGTGCATTCAACCTCTCTGATTTATTTGTGTTTGCAAATTCTTCCACTTCTCCTTCTCTTCATCTCAGGGACAGTCTTCCATTATCTTTTCTACTTATCTCAACACCTGCATAGTTACCATAACATTATTGCATTATTAGATAACAAATGCAATTTATGAAATTAAACTCCATAACAAATTAAATTTCAATTTGTTTTCATGTTTCTTGAAACCTTGTACAATTTTCCTGCCTTTGTTTCTCAATTAAGCTCTTGGGAATTCATCATGCTATATATTCATCTTGCCTACACCTCTTTTACTAGTGGACCTTCTACTCCTAATGTAATGGCAACTATTTAATTTAGACTTACAGAATTTGTTTGATATTACTTGATGATGCACCTTCTTGTTCTCTTTTCGCTCCTACTACATGTCGCTCTTCTTTATTTTATAATATATGTCATGCCACTGTTTTGCTTATTTTCATAGAAAATACATTCATGGATAACTAATGCACTATAGACTTGTAATGATGCATTGCAATTATATTGGACTTGCATCTTATAACAAAACTTTATGCATACACGAAGCTCGAATATACAAGTGCAAATATGTGTGATTTCAATCATAAGACTTGACTTTTACTAAACATATACGACACCAAAACATGCATAAGGTTGTATTCACTTGAATCAACATTTAACTAATATTATGTGTTACACAATTCTGAGACCTTCGTTTTCATTCTACTTTAAATAAATGCATCTTTTAACATACACTCCTGCATATATATTTCTCTCACAAACTCAAGTCACATGCTTTAAAATCATGCATCTAATATCTTTAATTACTGCATCTTACATCTACATGTCCTGCATCTTACATTCGTTTGCGAGTCCTGTTCCAATTACCAAAACCTATGCATCTTACATCTAAAACTACTGCATCTTTACATATGTTCCAAAGTCCAATTCTAAGCGCCAAAACCGCTGTCTTACATGTAAAAGTACTACTGCATCTTAAATCTGCATGAAAGTTCAATTAATAGTACCAAAACTCGTGCATCTTACATCTAAAACTCATGCATATTAGTTTTTATTCCCTGTGTGTCAGAGCACCTGCAATTACATCTAACTGGATTCCATCCACAATTACAAAAATGCAATATTTCTCCTCAATATCACATAAAACATTATTAAACCTCTATCCAAAGCTACATTGTAATCCCAACTTATAACATGACATTATCCATCCTAAATTTCTCATAAGATGCATTTCAATGGTCGAATTAAACATTCATCCAAATTAATGTTTTTGAATCTACATTGAAATAAGCAGCGACAACAAACAAGTACCTTAATCAAGTTCATTTTGTGTTTCATGCAATAGGTGTTCCATTTGTAGAAACACCTACCTTCATGAAGCCATCGCCTGCCATCGTCGACCACCTTGCCTTCCCTGCACTTGGCTTGGCTAGAAACATCTACCAAAAACCTTGATCCAGGCTTTAAAATCGATGGTCACTCTGTTTTCAATCGTCGAACTGTTGCAACTTACTTTTTTCCCTGTTGCTCTCCGTGGCTAGTTACCCTTGTTAGCGACGACTTTGCGAAAAATCAGGGTTTTCCAAATCCAATCACAATTTGAATTTTGTGGCTTTCTTTTTTATTTGTGAAATTACTTCCATGACCTTCTAAATTGATTGCACGCTCAGAATTTGTTTTCCCCTTTTTATTCCTTGCTGTGTGAGTGCAGAGTTTAAAAATGCTCCCCATACGGATAACTGTCCGTTTCCTCTAATCTAACGGAGGATATTGGTTTGTAGGTTAGCACCGGAAGCTTGGTTTGCATGGGATCCCCCCCCCTATAGGGAGCGGTTCCGGTAAGAACAGATCTTAGGAGAAAAATGAGAACGAATCTGGGCCGTTGGATTGTATTATGTGGAACCAAATTGTGCATTTGGTGAAACTGAAATGTGCATTAAATGATATTGAAATGTGCAAGATAAAAATTTAAACTCAAGTGTGCATTAGATGAAACTGATATCTGCGAAAAAAAGTACAAAAATAACATCACATCGTACTTTTTATTCTGCACATTTCAGTTTCACCTGGTGCACATTTCAATTTCACGTATTGCACAATTCAACTGCACATAATGCCACTCTATCATACCCTTTGTGATGCACATTTCAATTTCACCTAATGCACATTACAGTTTCATCTAATGCATACTGAATTTCACTTGAGGCAAATCTAACGGTCCAGATTCGTTCTCATTTTTCTCATAAGATCGTGTTCTTATTTGAACCAAAACATATATATATATATATATATATATATATATATATATATATATATATATATATATATATATATATATATATATATATATAAACCAAGGATTAATATTTATTAATTTGAGCGCCTGCAGCCCAAACCCAAGTCCCCCTTTCTCTTAGCCCGCGGCCCATCAAATTCCAGGCAGCCCTAGTGCCAACTCCTCAAGCCCTGTCCAGACAGTCCAGTCGCCCATTTTCCCTTTCCCCTTGGCCCCCGTAACGCAGGACAACAACTCCCTGCAAGTCAACGACGGAAGTTACGGACTTACGGAACGAGTGAACGACGAACCAGTGCGAGCATCTCAGCGATGGAGGAGTGCTGCCGGCTTCTAGTCGGCGACTGACCACGGGCGACGACGGCGGACGATAGTTCACTGTTTTGTTTCAGCCCTTCCTCTGATTTCCGGCTTGATCTCCGTCCCTCCGGTGGCCGGTGCGACGGTGCTCCCATCTCTAGATTCCAGGTAAGCCCCTTAATCCCTTAACTTAACCTAATTGTTTTCCTGATAATTTCATTTAAAATTGTTTATTTGTTGAATTTTATTTGTTGAATTCATAATTGTTGGATGGTTGAATACCTTTATTTGTTGAATTCTAATACACCGTCGAATTTTTTGACAATTATGTTATGATAATCTAATTAAAAATGATAATTATATTGTAATTGTTGGATTGTTGAATACCTTTATTTGTTGAATTTTAATACACCGTTGAATTTTTTGGCAATTATGTTATGACAATCTAATTAAAAATGTTAATTATATTGTAATCCTATGATTGTGGATTTGTTGATTTAGTGAACATTGTTAATTTGTTATGATGTAATTTATTCAATATACTCATAATATTTTGATCATAGTTGGTCTAGCTTGTTTGACAAAAAAATCGCTATGTTACGATATTTTCTACTGAAACCTAAACGACTGAGCATTGGTGATTCTTCATCTAATAATTTAGTTTCTTAATCGGATAACGTCTTTCCTAACAATGAAAATAATGTTGACAAGGTTCGAATAGAAGTTGAATTGTCGGATGATGACATTGTTGGTGACCTTGGATTGCGTAAGCTAATTGACACTTATGATGTCAATATTAGAGACGATCAGATGAGTTGAACTATATATATGATCAACATAGAGGTTAATACAAATACAAAAGAATTATACAGAGCGTACACACACACTATATCATGTGCACGGATCGGCAGATACACTACTAGCTAGCTTGTCCATATATCTGGCCGGCATACATGACTAAAACAACTAGATCCATATATATATATATATATATATATATATATATAGGGGACGGTTCAGGTGTGAACACCCTCTTAGGAGAGTAAAAAAGAACAAGATCTGGCCATTATTTCACTTGATCGTGCGGCACAAAAAAGACAATACGAACTAAAAAATGGCACATGATGTGCACATGCTAGGATTTAATTTGAGTAGATACGCACCATAATAATGGGTAAAGGTCATTTAGGTAAAAGATAAAAAATAGTTGAGATGCACGATTACATATTATGGAAAGCTATCCTACAAATTGGGATGGTAATTAATGCATAGTAACTCCCTCATAAGTAAAATAATTTATTCTCTTAATGTTTTATCTTATTTAACTTTATAACCATATTTGATATTCTCTCACACTTAACTCGATTAACTAATTTTATAAAACTCTATTAGATTTTTTATTTTTATTTTTGGTTTAATCATTTTCTATCCAGATGGAGTATTTCGTTGATTAGCCATTTGCACTCAAACATTTAATAGTTGTACTTTTAGTTGAAACTCTATGTACTTTATATAATCTGCACTCTACTCTCCGAAATTGTGCGTGCATCCATATATTTTTGAATAAAAATAAAAATAAAATATGCACGGGTGTAAACTAACAACTATCATACAATTTTTTAAATTACATATTGTATACACTTATAATTTCTATGTGCACGTACTTCAACGCAGAATAGTTGCACTTTTATTCAAAACATTATGCAACTAACATCGATTTATTTAGATATTTTGAAATATTCATTCTCAAGAGAGATGATGAGTTTATTAAATTAATTTACATAGTTGTAAACCGCACCCTTAATTATGTCATTAGTTTGCATTTTCTATTACATAAATCTACACTTTACACGTGCCATTATGCACATCCATGCATGCTTCAAATAAAAATGAACATAAATATACAAAAAGTGCACTATGTTATTACACTTTCGAAGTTTCTACTATAGCACTCTTTTACAAAATAAAATGCATTTTTATACTGTGCATTATAAATAAATACAAAAGTGCACAATATATCCCACTTTCTAAAACTCTACATTCACACTTTTTATAAAATGAAATGCACTTTTCTTCCAAAAGTATCATAATAATTCCAATATAATGGTGTCTTCTTATGTCACGTGTATCTGCAAAAATGTTAATAAAAGAATTATGAAAAAGTGCATAAACAATTACGTTAAGTGCAGCATATGGTTCCATGCAAACAATGTAAGATAGAGTACAGTAATATAGTGCATTAATCTGCATCATAAAACCATTCAGAGTGCATTAAAAGCAGTCCTAGAATTGACTATGAATATAACAAATGTTTTCTTATGATGGATAGATATATATGACATGACAAGAGCGTAGTGTGTACATGGATAAGAGAAATACATTAAAAATAATGCAAAATTCGTATGAACATAAACGAATTTTTCCATCAATGATTCATACACATCCAAAAAGGGTAAACTCCACGCACATGACGTTCAAAATATTGAAAAAATCATAGAATCGTACATCCAAACGTAAAACTAGAAGAGTTTAAACGATCAGAAAATTCAAAGAAAAGAAACTTACCGCACTCCATGGAATCGTTAGGCCGGAGAAGAAAACTCAAAACGTATGGAGTAGCAGACAAAAGAATACCTTAGGTTCAAAACGAAATAAGAATGATACCATGTCAGATCAATTCGTACCTTTTAAGAACAAAATAAGATGAATACCTCCGGAGAACTAGAGAAGAACGCCAAGGCAAGCTGAAAATAATTTGGGAGATGATACCTTTGCAGAACCAGAGAAGAACGACATGGTGTATTGAAAATATTTTGGGAAAGAATCGTGTAGATTGTAGAAACAGTTTTTGGAAGGAAACAAAGCACGATTTTAGGCGGACGTTTAATTAGAGGAAAAAGAATTGACTTCAATACCCTCTATCATAGCTTAGGCGGACGTTTATTTAGAGGCTAATCCAACAGTCAAGATGTGTTCTTTTTTCCTCTCCTAAGATTAAGTTCTCACATGATCCTAAATCTATATATATATATAAATTTAAATCAAATGGATACGTAATATATATATACATACTGCTGCGCTGATGTAGGTATTATCTGTACGTAAGTATTAATAAATGTAGTATTAATTATTTCTTCTTGGTGGCAGTTCCATCGAAGAGCTGATCAATGTACTTCTCAAGATCTTCACCCTGATATTTGACATACTTCTGAGTCTGCCTCCCAGGCGTGAAGGTGTGACTAAACCTAGCGATGAAGGACCTGTATGCGGGGACCACCATGTTGCATATGGACACTCGAAGCTCGGACTGGAGCTGCTCGTCACTGATCACCCAACTGCTCTGCGCCTTATATATCTCATCAAACGTCGCATTGAAACTCTTGAACCGCTCTTTCAGTGCCGGCTTGTTCACCTTCCCGTTGGACCCCGCCGTCAGCCCTTCACCGCCCAAATACTGCAGCAGTCTCCCCCACGTGTCCCGCTGGTACTTCTTGTGGTACTGCCTCAGCTCTGCAGACTTCTTCCGAATCCATGAGCCACCGCTGCCGCTCCCGGCCATCAGGCTGCTCATCCCCTCTGATCCCCTCACTTTTTGCATCACATACCGCCCGTTGTTCATCAGGAAGATCAAGCTCAGGGAGGGGTCTTTGTATTGCTTTGACTTTGCCTCCAGGTTGCTTTCTATCACCTCAATTGCTTTCACAATTTGCACCTTGAAGTCATCATAATTATTATTAGCATCAGCAGCAGCGACCAATGATTGTTGTTGTTGTTTCTGCGCGAACACTTGCTCCAATGTGTCTTTGTATGCACACATGCGCTCTATGGTGCCCATGGCCGTGCGGGTTAGTGGGTGAATCCCCCCGCCAGCTGGCGGCGGGTTCTTTGTCGCCGAATTCATTGTGATCATGTGCTCCACCAGAAGCTCATGCACCATCGCGATGGCCAACTCCCCAAGGCGGCACTGGGTTAATAAGGCCTCCGCCTTCACCTGCTCGTCTTCTAGCCTGGCGGGAAGAAGCAGGTCTCGCAAGGCCTCGTACATGTCTAGAAGCTTGTAAAGCCGCCTTTGATCATCTGGGACGCGCTTACTGGTGGCGGTGACCGCATGGGAGAAATCAAGGAGCTGGGTCAGCGTGAAGCGAGACAGCTCCCTTGTTATGTTGTCTGACATGGAAGGGTAGTCCTCGAAGATGGAGGTGGAGAGCTTGCGCTCAGACAAGAGAAGGTTGGTGGAGCAGTATTTGAACGTTCTCAGCCACGCCACAATCTCTCTCTCCAAACCCTCCCACCCCATCCTATGCACCTCCTCCACGGTCCATTTCTCGAACCCGAGACGACGGAGGCTCTCATCTACCATCATCTGTCGTGACGCAAAGTATGCGTGCCAACACTCTGCCTCGTACGCCCCTAACATCATTGCCTTTCCTAGTTTCTTCAACATCCCCTCCTCCACCACCTCTTCCTTGTTCTCTATGGATGCTGATGGCTCATCAAGTTGATGATGATGATCACCCCCGGGTGATGAATCTGGAGGACACATTTTGTAATCATCTAGATAGGATTGGAAAGCATGTTCAATGTAGGACATGAGGCGCTGGAGGATGCCCCCAACCCGACTGATGGAGTATGCATATTTGTACTCAGAGGAGAAATGAAGAAGCACTTTGGAAAGCTTAGACAGGCGATTGGTGGATTGGAGGAAAGAATCGGCCGCCGCTTCATCCAACTCACTCCATTTCACACCACACCCATCCTTTTCATCCACCATCTCCTCCACAAGGACAGTGAACTGCTCCACGCAAATGGGAACGTCAGGGACGGACATCTTGCAGGATGGTTCTGTAGAGCTCTGCAGATCAAAGATGTATCGATCGATGTCTTGGGATATTCTAAGTAGATCAGGCGGCAACACATTTTTGTATTCTTGTTGATCATCATCATCATCATCATGGCTTGTTATTGCATTCTCTTCATTTGCTATAATTTGGTTGTGGCATTCAATTTGGGTGTCATCCATAACATCGTCGTTATGCATGCTTCCGGTCAAACTAATTAATTAAGGGGCCGGCCGGCCGGTTACATTTGCATCAAACAACGCGGAAGACGACGACGACATGCATGCAACATGTACGTATATGATCGATCGATGCTCACCCGCGTGCGATGGTTGGAAATATGTGGCTTGTGCACAAGAAGGTTAATTGGCGATCATCATCATGATTTGCTAGCTTCGCTACCTCGACCTTTTGAAAATTTTCTCTGCTTTCCTTTAATTTCTCCACAGCTAGCTAGCTTCTTTTTAATCCTTGTTCATTTTGATAATAATTGCATGGGCATGCAAGAGAAGTTTTTTATCTGCTTTCCTTTAATTTCTCCACAGCTAGCTAGCTTCTTTTCAATCCTTGTTCATTTTGATAATAATTGCATGGGCATGCAAGAGAAGATCAAGAGGAGTACGTGAGAGCCATTAACCAACTAGTGGCCATAGTGCGCGCTACACCACCATTTCCGCTTACAACCCTGCGCCTCTTCTTAATTAATCCTAAGCTCTCACTTATTTTTTACAAGCAATAATAAAACATTAATAGGATAAAAAAAAAGAGTTCATGTTTTAATTCTCTTATATATATATATATATATATATATATATATATATATATATATATTATATATATATATATATATATATATATATATATATATATATATATATATCTACAAATGTGCATTACTCCTGTTACATGAATCCAATTTTCATTTCATCCGGGAAAAGCCATCTTTTTCTCAACAAAGTCTTTGTCATTTGATCAAATAGTGTTCCATTAGACAAGAACATATTTGATAAATAGTGATAACTCTCGGATAGAGTACTAGAACAGAAAGATTCATTATAAAATGAACCATTATTTCTAAGCCATCTCCGACGATGACTCACAAATTCGAAGTGCTTTTGTTCCTTCTTCCTTATAGTAAAATCATTTGTTTTTTTATATCGAATTAGATGCTCCCATTGATATATATATATATATATATATATATATATATATATATATATATATATATATATAATGAATTAGACTATTGACTTAAGAAAATTGTTAAAATTGATCAGAGATCTAGTACTTCCATTTAGGAAGATCAATAAGTCATCTGCAAAGCCTAAATGAGATAGAGGATAGCCTATTGATCTTTCAAAAGGAAAATTTTCAAAATGTTTTCTTAAAATACTAGGGAATAAGTAAGAATTTCTATGACTAAAATAAAAAAAAATTAGGCGCGTGGTGAGAACATGAGACTTTAATTTTTGGTTTTGGTTGTGGTGTGTGATTCTTTTGAATTGTTTGAGATACATTTGTCTGTGATATATTCTTATTGACTTATTTGAAGATGACTTTGACCTTATAGAGGAACTTTCATGATTATGGGCATACTTGATTAGTGAGATATTAGACAGGTTAGTATAATAGTGAATACCATTTGTTCGATTTCTTATTCTAAACAATATAAGTTTCAAGAAGACAATGACGCATACGAGGGACATCATAAAGGAAAATGGCGTCGTATTGAAGAATGTGGAATTGGTGGGTCTGGGGCAAACTCAACCCGCCCAGACTATCGGGAATGTGCTATGACAAAATCAACACCAACATTGTCTCAACAATCACATTGAAGCAGTAAAACGCGTGGTGCAAAGTAATCACCGATTTATTTATTTAGTCCTAGAAGATCTCGTTATTCGTAATTATTTATTAACTCTACGAAACTATGAGCTACCCCGTGGATCACGAGTTGATACTGCTGCACCCTACATACGTCAAGAGGTGGATAACTTGTGCGCGACTACTGAACCAGCGCTGCATAAACAACTTGACTTTTGTGGGAGACGTTTAAAGAGGTCATGCAAGAAATATTCTAACTAGAGCACGTGAGAGCTGCGAATTGAAGCACAAAAAAATTCCTACACCTAAAGAAAGTGACTACGATCATCCAAGAGTATAGTACTACGCCGAATTCTTGACGCTCGCACGAATCACACCGCACTAGTGTCTGCCGAAGTTAGTAAATCTAGGAAGTTTATTAGTGTTCTAAATTTTTCAAAGCTTAGGAGACTATATGTGTCTTGAGATACCAAACTCTGAACGAGACCAATGCCAAAGTTGTCAACCATGACCGAGTACGACGATGCTAGAAGCTAAGGCAAGAAGGGCGCCGAAGAAGAAACCAAACAAGGAGCCAAACGGCACAAACTAAATTAGTGAGGAAAGATCGTAAACGACGACAACAAAGAACAACAACAACCAATGTGAGAAGCATAAGAAGAACTACAGTCTGTTGAAGACGTGCACTTCTATTGCATGATTTGTAACATAATCTTCTTGGAGTAAGTGCTTCGGGGACGAACCACCTTTTAAGGGGGGTAGAATGTGACACCCCGAAAATTTCAAAAAAATAAAATAAGTAATATTATCAATATGATAGATAATTTTTTTTTCTAATCATATTTGAAAGTCATATGTTATGACAAATATGTTAATTGGAAAAGATTTTGATTTAAATCATGCAAGTAACATTTCGTTTGACAAGTGATATAGTAAAATATGCACACACATATATAGCATAGATAATAATAAGAATACGTATTTTTCACCCGGTATTTTCTTGATGTAAAAGACACTTCATGATGCGCTGAAATATGCAATCTAGCACGGTGGTATTTCTGTAAATACTTATGAAAAATAAACTAAATTATAATTAGACTATTGTAGTGATTAATCACCATTACGTAGTGGGGGAATTTATTAATAAAAGATGGAAGAAATTAATTAAGTTGATAGGATATTGATCTTTGACTTTTAATAGAAGGTGATTTGATTGAGGAGCAAAGTAGAAGAGTTCATAATTGGAGTTTGAGGTAAGTTCTACGTCAACCAACATTACACTTTTCCTCGTAAATCTATATATGATTATTTATTTGAAATTATTTGAATACTTTGTGAGATTCTATCATTTACATTTATACTTCGTATTTGAGTATTTAGAATTATTTATGGATCGTTATTGAGGATTATATTTGTGATTTGAGTATTGAATATTGGGTGATATTTTTGAGTATTTGAAGTTATGTATGAATCATTATTGGGATTGAGATTTGAGCTATTTATGAAGTATTCTATATTTTGATCATGTTGGGAAATTTTGAGTTTAAAGTTTAAAGGATCAATTAACTCTTATTTTGGAAATTTATGTCTATGTATAATATGAGATTCTGAAAGCTATTAGAGATCAAGATATTTTGAACTACATGGTGAAATTGTGATTTGAAATCCAAGGATAATAATCCTTCTTTTAAAACTATATCTTTGAATAATAGATATAGAATTTTTGAAAAGTAATCAAGATAAAAAGAACCTTTCAATGTAAGGGCATCGCGGGAGAAATCTGCGGTGTCGGTGTTCTCCGCGACCTTGACTGTGGGAGTGATTAGAGCTGCTACTACTTGTTTACACATAAAGAGTTGGGATGTTGGTGTCTCCACGACCTTGACTGTGGATGTTGGTGTCTCCACGACCTTGACTGTGGATGTTGGCGGTAAAATTCGGGCAAAAGACCCTGTTATTCAGTAGTAGCAGTAACCTAGTCACTTCTATAGGGTAATCCCTTTTTGGTGGAGTAGGGGGACGTTGACGTCCGAACTACTTGGGCTTCTTACTACCCGTAGGGCTTGGAATCCCTTTCAGGGGGTGTGCACACTTAAGGTAGAGGTTCAGTTTCCTCAGGTTAGAAGTGGTACCGGCAAAAGTCCCGGGGTGGCCGTACATAATAACGGACCATCGGGCTCAATAAAATGTTGAGCACCGCCCTTCAAATGTATTAGGAGTACAAATTATATATGGATTGTTGTTTTGAGGTTTTGAGGAGAATTATATTTGATTGGATTGGATTTGAGTTGCTGGATTACTAGATTGCATTATACTTGGATTGAATTTGAGTTGGATTGAATTATCAAATTATTTGTGGAATTTCAACGTACAAATACTTTTGGATTTAATTCGGTTTGATTATGCTAATATTGTTTATGAGTATTTGGAAGTATTTTGAGAATGATTTTTGGTACTTTATGTACATTTGGTATGTTGTAATTACTGTGGTTTGGAAATATTTATTTATATTTGAAGTAATATTATTTTACTCGTGAATTATGTTAAGAGAAGATTTTATAAATTGTTTTGAAAAGATTTTTAATCCTAAATGTTTTTTTCAAAAAAAAAATATTAAATTATATTATTTTATGGGGTTAGGTGGAACTTACTTAGCATTGTTGCTAATTTTTGTTTTCTTTTGTTTTTCTTCCTGTACTTGATTTTGTACAGGTAATGCTTTGATGATGATGTTGATTTCGAGAGAGCTTCTGCTAGAGAAAATGTAATTAGTAGATAACATCGTAGTTTAATTTAATTTTCAAGACACTTATTGAATTTAATTGTTTCTGTGATGATTAGCCTGTGCACTTGGTTAGGTTAGAGCCGAGTGTGGCGGTAACGCCTCTATTTCCCTTTGATTGTTCCGCTGCACAATTCTGATGTTTTCAAATAAAATTAATAATAAAGTTTTATTTCAAAGTGTTTTTGGGTGGGAAATTTGGGGGTGTTACATTCCCCTTCTACATTATTACAGAGAACTAATTCTTTTCTTTCACTCTACTTACAGCGACCTTCTATCTTATTGAGTTTTTTTCTTTCAGTTCAGTTTCAAAATTTTCATTTCATTTCCACATTCTCATACGAAAATAAGAATAGAATCTTCACACCCTTATTTAAAGGGGTTGTGCCATCATCTCAATTTTTGGTACCAAATAAAAATTTACTCATGAATACTTTTAAAATATGAATGATTAACTCCATTATAAGCTTTCCTTCAGAAAAAACTCATTATAAGCTAATTTAATTTTGTATGTCTCTCACTTATGCTTGTATACTATGTATAGTGATTATATAATTGCATAGAAAGCTAATTAACTCCACATTTTACTCATGATTACTTCAAGAGATTGTTTGAAATCTAATCTATAAGAAGTTCTAAATTTTAGGAAGGGGCTCCATTAAAAACGTTTTTAATTGGACTGATTTTTTTATCTGGTTTGTCTATTCTAATCGGATCTGGTCCAATCTATATGATTTGATCTGATCAAGTCATATTATCCGAGAATTTTTTAACTCTTTTTGCCAAACAGATTTACTTCATCTAACGTAACTAACAGTTTGGATGCAACGTTTCAAAATTCATTTCTAGAAAATAGTCTATATTTCAGACAATAATCCTTAATTCAAAAATTTGTTTCCACCTACATTTCAAAGTGCCAAACATAACCCTAATCTATTAGCCCATTTGGATATTGAGAAAGTTT